CGGGGTTTCACCATGTTGACCAGGATGGTCTCGATCTCTTGACCTCGTGATCCACCCGCCTCGGCCTCCCAAAGTGCTGGGATTACAGGCTTGAGCCACCGCGCCCGGCTGCCCCACTAATTTTTAAATTTTTTGTAGAGATGATGTCTTGCTATGTTGCCCAGGCTGATCCTGAACTCCTGGTCTCAAGTGATACTCCCACTTTGGCCTTCCAAAGTGCTGAGAGATTATAGGTGTGAGCTACAACTCCCGGCCCATAGGGTAGTCTTTAGAAAAAGCACATATGACTTAACTGTGTTAAAATTATTCATTTGTATGTCTCCCTCCACTTCTAGACTATAGGTTCATTCCAGAAAGAATCATGTTTTGTTCATTTTGGTATACATACTACTATCACTAGTATTAGCACTGGCGCTAGCCACTTACTAGCTGAACTGAAAAAAAAAGAGATTAATCTCAGAATGTGTGCTGGGATGGATTGGAGGCAGAAAATTGGAGGCAGGGAGACCAGTGAGGGAGTTACTACTCTATATGAAACATGATGGGAGCCTAAACTATAATGATAGCAATGAGGACGTGTGGGTGAGTGACACATTTGTTGAATTGAGTGTTAAGTGGGAAGTGTAATATGGTTTGTAGTCTGTTAGAAGCCACAGAATATTGGAATTGATTGTCATGGAGGTTGCTTAAGCTGCAGCTCACAGCCACTTGAAACTCAGCTCTACAAATAAAGATACCTGAAAGCGAAAGCCATGTTTGTGAGTTGCTTGAGTTATGTCCTCAAGTTTCTGCCTTGGTTTTTGTTATTCAAGCTTCATTATGGGTTTTTTGTTGTTGTTGTTTTGGGTTTTTGTTTGTTTGTTTTTGGAGACAGGGTCTTGCTCTGTCGCCCAGACTGGAGTACAGTGGTGCAATCATAGCTCACTGCATGCAACCTTGATCTCCCAGACAATCCTCCTGCCTCAGCCTCTCAAGGTGCTGGGACTACAGGCATAAGCCACCATGCCTGGCTAATTTATTTTTTATTTTTAGTAAAAGGAATCTGTACTGTTAAAAATTAGAATAGTGATTACCCTTGGGGGAAGCAGGTGACTAAAAGGGAGCATGAGATGGGCTTCTGAGATGCTGGCAATGTTCTGTTTTTTGATATTCAAATTGTGAAAAATCAAGTGAGCTGTATACTTATGATAAACATTTTTCTCTATATTTATATTAGTTTATTCTCATGCTGCTATAAAGAACTACTTGAGACTGGGTAATTTATAAAGAAAAGAAGTTTAATTGATTCACAGTTCCACAGGCTGTACAGGAGGCATGGCTGGGGAGGCCTCAGGAAACTTAAAATCATGGCAGAGGGGCGAAGGGGAAGCAAGCATGTCTTCAAATGGCAGCAGGAGAGAGAGAGAGAGTGCAAAGTGGGAAGTGCCACACACTTTTTAACCATCAGATCTGGTGAGAACTCCCTCACTATCACATGAGGAAAATCTGACCCCCACGATCCAATCACCTCCCACCAGGTCCCTCCCCAACAATGGGGATTACAATTCAACATGAGATTTTTGTGTGGGGTGGAACACAGAGCCGAACCATATCAACATATGTATTATATTTGGTAAGAAGTTTAAAGTTTTTTGAAAGGCTATGAGAAAGGCAACAAAGAGACTAATTCTGTTGGAGGGGCTCAGGGGAAAAGACTTTTTAGAAGGAGAGCTGGTAACTGAACTGAGCCTTAAAATGTCTAGGTACAGTGAAGTGGCGAGGTGGGAGTCAAGAAGGGAAACAGCATTTCAAAGAGAGAACTGAACAAAAGCACTGAACCATGTGGCGAAGAGAAAATAGACTTCTTTGGCCAGTGCATATTGTGTTGTAAAGATGAGGCTGGAAAAGTAGTTTAGAGACAGACTGTGAAAGGCCTTGAATGCCAAGGTTGGAGTTGATTTTCTAGAAAGCCTTTGAAGTTCTTTTAAACCTATGAGTGACCTGGTAAGTGTTTAGCATGATGAGTAATTATATATTTCCATCCTCTGTGCGTTAGTGAGATGAGGGTTAGTCTCATTTGTAATTGTTAATTTAGGGCTGTTTCACATCATTACTTTTACTGCCTATCTTGTTCTGCCAAAAGCTTTCCTTCTTTCTTCCCTTTCCCTGCCAAAAACAAAACAAAAAACCAATATACAACCTTACCTTGTAGTATCTCTGGCCATATCTCTTAAGGGGGCCAGAAGTCAGTATCTTTTTAATTATAGGCAAGAAGAGAGGCGGAGGCGGTCCTTCCAGGATTACACTGGGCAGAAGATCACCCTTGAGGCTGTCTTGAACACTACTTGCAAGAAGTGTGGCTGTAAAGGTAAGGTGAAGCCTCTGCCCTTTCTCTCCTTGTGGATGGCCGCTTTTCTGGAAGGAGGAGGCAGCCCAGTGTGAGTTTAGTTCACCTGTTTTTTAGCCCAGTGATGGCCTTACCTGTTTATGCTGTTATTCCCGCCAGACTCACATCAGAGTTCATGGCTTGATCCTTTTTCTGTTTTTTTTTTTTTTCTGAGTACTGGTCCTACCAGATACTATACCACCACTTCTCCCACCCCACCCATAGCTTATGCCCTATCTGAGCAATACCCCCATGAACTATGCCAGGAGGGGTAAGAGTGTTGGATTATGATTAACACTCTAATTTTATCTCCAAGGATGATGATTCTGCAAAAATTAAGCAACTTGGAAATATATAACTTAAAGAGCCAAGTCAGAGTTCTGAATACAATATCCTTTTATTTTTTATTTTATTTTATTTTTTGAGACGGAGTTTCGCTGTTGTTACCCAGGCTGGAGTGCAATGGCGCGATCTCGGCTCACCGCAACCTCCGCCTCCTAGGTTCAGGCAATTCTCCTGCCTCAGCCTCCTGTGTGGCTGGGATTACAGGCATGCGCCACCATGCACAGCTGATTTTTTGTATTTTTAGTAGAGACGGGGTTTCACCATGTTGACTGGGATGGTCTCGATCTCTTGACCTCGTGATCCACCTGCCTCAGCCTCCCAAAGTGCTGGGATTACAGGTGTGAGCCACCGCGCCCGGCCCAATATCCTTTTAAAGGATATCGAATAAAGAATACAGGATCGTCACTTCTTTTTAGTTCTATTTCCTCAGGTTTCCTCTACTCTTACTCAAATATTTAAAAGGTCTTTCAGCCTTATTTCCCTTGTTAGAACTATATTGAGAGAGACTGCCAGCTTCTCATTTTCAGGGTGACCTCAATTTGTCACCCATTCTTCCTAGTCTTCCCTGTACCCTACTATGTTGATTTTTCTACAATAACTGGTAGCAGGTTTGTGCCCTGGTTGAAGTTGTGGGGTTTTAAGCCCCTATTGATCATTAGCATAGAGGGGAGAGGGGGAAAGATAAAACTGAGAGAAAGAATACCTCCTCAGGAAAGCTGTGGGAACATTCCAAATATTTGGAAAACTCTATGCTGTATTTCCCTGTCAGGTGCCACCCAACTGCTGGATCCAGAGGTACAGAGTACTTTACACATTGTTTTTTGTTTTTTTTTTTTTTATTTAAGATAGGGTCACCCAGGCTGGAGTGTAGTGGTATAATCATGGCTCACTGCATCTTTGAGCTCCTGGGCTCAAGCAACCCTACTTCCACCTCCTGAGTAGCTGGGACCACAGGTGTGTGCCACCATGTCCAGCTAATTTTTAAAAATTTTTTGTAGAGATGGGGTTTCCCTGTGTTGCCCAGGCTGGTCTCCCTGGGCTCCAGTGATCCTCCTGCCTTGTCCTCCCAAAGTACTGAGATTATAGGCATAAGCCACTGTGCGCAGCCCACATGTACCTTTTTGATTCTCTCATGCAATTTCTTTGTGCCCCTGAGACAGGCTCTACCACAAACTCAGACACAACTAGGAGTGTAGAGCATGACATCTGTTACAGGCTATGCTCAATATTACTACAGGCTCAGGGAAGGTAGGGGTCTTTTAACCTTAACTGGTGTCCAGCAGGCATTACATAAAGAAGAGAAGAATAATGAGAGGTGGAATTTGTCCCAGTTAGCAAAGGTCAGGCCAAAGGTCGTTGGTTTGGGTGCAGCAGAAAGCACAGGGCAGGGAGGTGTGAGACCCAGGATAATTTGAACTCTGCTGCTGTCTGGGTGACCTTGAGCTACTTCTCAACTCTGGGCTTTCATCTTCTACAAATGTAGGGTGGATTTGATGATCTCTAAGGTGCTTGCCAGATCTGACAATCAGTAAATGTTCAGTGCCCTTAGGTGACTGTGCCTGTTTCTCTGTGTGTTAGCTTAGATGTGATTGCCCACTTGCTGCCAGCTACCTAAGAGCATCTTCCTTTAGGGCTTGGCCTGCCACTCAGCTCTCTGCGCTAAGCATCCTGCTCTCTGGAACAGTCTTTCACTGTCAGGAATATGTTCCAAAATAGACCTTAAAAAATTAATAAGCGCCATTACTAATGGACGGCGGTATAAACCTGCATCCTCATATCCTCTGCCATTTTGAGAACAGCACCAATGTTTTCCAGAGCCCTAAGACCAGCGGCTAGCCTGGCTGTGGTTGAGTGAGAAATGCCATGTTGAGGTGGTGGAAAATCTATTGTGAATCAAACAGCTACTCTGAATGACGTCAACAATATTTCCTGAGCCAACTAGCCCATTCCAGGAGCCTTGGAGGAAGATGCACTTGCTGAGATGAGAGACTACTTCCTTCTTCTATACCTTTTCTACTTCTCTTCTGCAGGCCACTTTGCAAAAGATTGTTTCATGCAACCAGGTGGGACTAAATATTCTCTGATACCTGATGAGGAAGAGGAAAAGGAAGAGCCAAAGTCAGCAGAGTTTGAGAAGCCCAACCCCACAAGGAATTCTTCTAGAAAAAGAAAGAAGGTGAATGCTACTTTGCTTTTATTTTATCGTATATTTTTCAGGTTCTACAATGAAAATCTGAAAGGCCTGGTGCAGCGGTGCACACCTGTTGGGAGGATAAGGTGAGAGGATTGCTCGAAGCCAGGAGTTAAAGGCTGCAGTGAGCTACGATTATGCCTGTGAATAGCCACTGCATTCCAGTCTGAGCAGCATAGCAAGACCCAACCTCTAAAAAGAAATTTTTTTGTTAAAAAAATGAAAAATGAAAATGTGCTTTTTGCAGAAATTTTAGAAATACTGAAAAACATAATGAGGCAAACCAAGATCTTCCGTAATCTTTCTACCCAGAGAGACTCTTATTAGCATTTTGTGGTATATTCTAATCTTTTATCTTTTTTTTTTTTTTTTTTTTTTGAGACAAGGTCTCTTGCTCTGTCACCCAGGGTGAAGTGCAGTGGTATGATCTTGGCTCACTGCAACCTCCCAGGTTTGAGATTCTCATGCCTCAGCCACCTGAGTAGCTGGGAATACAGGCGTGTACCACCATGCCCAGCTAATTTTTGTATTTGTAGTAGAGATGGGGGTTTCGCCCTGTTGGCCAGACTGGTCTCAAACTCCTGGCCTCAAGTGACCCACCTGCCTTGGCCTCTAAAAGTGCTGGGATTACAGGCATGAGCCACAATACCTGTCCACTTTTTTCTAGGTAGTAATAAATATAGATGTATAGGCTGGGCTCGGTGGCTCACGCCTGTAATCCTAGCACTTTGGCAGACCAAGGCAGACAGATCATGAGGTCAAGAGATCGAGACCATCCTGGCCAACATGGTAAAACCCTGTCTCTACCGAAAATACAAAAATTAGCCATGCGTGGTGGTATACACCTGTAGTCCCAGCTACTCGGGAGGCTGAGGTGGAAGAATTGCTTGAACCCAGGAGGTGGAGGTTGCAGTGGGCCAAGATTGGGCCACAACAAACCAGCCAGGCAAAAAAACAAGAATCCGTCTAAAAAAAAAAAAAAAAAAAGATGTATATAGCTACACATACATATAAACACAAAATTGTGGTCATTTTTGGTATAGATAAATAAATATAGGTATAGTTTATACCTTTTTTTTTCTTCATTTTACTTATTGAAGGCATTTCCTGGTACCCTTAAGTGTTCTTCAAAAACTTTATTTAAGAGCAAGATAATATTTAACCCTATGGTTCTATGATGATATATTTAATTGTTTTCCTATTACTAGATATTTTTTTATTACTTCCAACCTAAATTTTTTGCCACATCTCTTATTGTTTTCTTTGGATAAATTCCTAAGTAAGATTACTGAGTTAGGGCTTTAGGGCTCTTGATACATTTTATCAAATTGCCTTCCAGAAAATATTTATTTGTCTCCAGCAGTGTATAAGAGCACCTGGCTCACTGAATTCCATCTCCTGTCTACTGCTTACAGCAGAGCAGTTCATAAAAGAGACATTACTGTGGTGCAGAAATAAACAGTCCATTTGTAGCATGCTACACAGAGAGGAAATAAAAGTTATTCTGTAGGTGGATTAGGGAATATCTCTTCTATCATTATCCAAACTATGGCCAGTATATTGAGTTTTGTTTTGTTTTTAAATCTTTGGCAAACATTTTTTGGGGGGTCATTTTGTGCCAGGCATTGTAACTCTGGGAATACAAAAACTGTGATGAGTTCCTTGCCCTCAGTGATCATTATCTATAGGTTAAGTATTATCTTCATTTTCTGGGTGAGGAAAAGGTTTCATTATACCATTATAAGAATTAGCCACATATATGAATAATTATTTCTCAATCTATATATTCTCTCTCTGGGTAATCCTATCCCTCCTGCATTATTGACTTCCACATCCTTAACTAGGATGCCATGGGTACCTCAAACTTTGGCTGGAGTCAATCAGATCCAGGCTTGAAGCCCTTTCTGTGCCCTTTCTGTGTTCTAGCTATTAATTTGGGGCTTTCTTTTTGTTTTTTGAGATGGAGTGTCACTCTGTCTCCCAGGCTGGAGTGCAGTGGTGCAATCTCGGCTCACCGTAGCCTCTGCCTCCCAGGTTCCAGCAATTCTCCTGCCCTCAGCCTCCCGAGTAGCTGGGACTACAGGTGCAAGCCACTATGTCCTGCTAATTTTTGTATTTTTTTTAGTAGAGACAGGGTTTCACCACATTGGCCAGGCTGGTTCTGAACTCCTGACCTCAACTGATCCACCTGCCTTGGCCTTCCAGAGTGTTAGGATTACAGGCCTGAGCCACCACACTTGGCAATTTTGGTCTTTTTAACTTCAGTTTTTTCATTTTCAAAGTGGGATTTTTATGATCTTTGATGACAATGTCCTTGCAGAGGGATGCCCAGCTCCCAAAAATAGATATAAAGCACTGACAAGTAAGTTTCTAATTAGTGTTGGCTGTTGTGACAGTCAGCCCTAATTATCTTTTTCAGCCTCCTTCCTAAACATGTACACACAATACCACCATCAGCATTACTACCAAAACCCTTGTTTCCATCCTTCTAATGGCAGCAGTACTCTCCAAGTCTCCCAAGAAAGAAAACAATGTCATTTATTTTCCCCTCCTTTTCCATCCTACATCTAGTCAGTGACCAAGTCCTGGTAACTTTTAACTACATATCTCAAAATTCTTCATCCATTTCCTGCTGCTACTATACAGTTTATCCCCTCACTCACTTCTCTCACATTCAGACTACTGAATGCCGTAGCCTAGGGAGTTTTAAAATATATATATTTGGCCGGGCGTGGTGGCTCACGCCTGTAATCCAAGCACTTTGGAGGCCAAGGCGGGCGGATCACCTGAGGTTGGGAGTTCAAGACCAGCCTGACCAACATGGTGAAACC